TATATAAAAATATTTAATACTGTATATTGCAGCTTACCATTTCTTAAATGTGATGGTTGCATTCAATTTCTTTTTTAAACTTTCTTCTATTTTCATCTGGTGATCCAGCCATTTGGGTTTCAAAAGAACAAGCTCTCTTACAGATGTATCAGTTCATAGGGATTAGACAAACCATTTATTACTGGCAGGTGTGCTTTTATTTATGTAAAATCTTTATCCCAAAAGGAAAAATACTGTGTGCTTTAACCCTTTTGCTGCCAGGTCCATACATCATATGTCCCTGACAGAGGGGGTTTTTACACACAACCCAGTGGCTGAAGCCACTGGGATTGTGTCTAAAACTGGCAGGCAGACTCCTGGCTGTCAGGTGGAAGAAGTCGGGCAAATGCACTGCTGCCAGATTAATTCCACAGAATAATTCCACAGCCCCTTCGCACGCATGGGCTCCTGCCATGCAATTCGGGCTCCCACTATGTAATCCGCTTGCCCATCTGTGGGACTGAGGCCGACATGGCAATGTGTTGGGGGACGGGGAGAGTTTAGAGAAGACACACATCCACTCTCTTCCCCTTCTTACTGTGACCTGGAAAGTGACGCTTATGACGCTAATGGCCACTATTCAGTGCTCCTACTCCTTGACCTCTCTGCGGCCTTCGACACAGTCGACCACCCCCTCCTCCTCAAAAAACTACACTCTCTCGGCCTCAGAGATTCTGCTCTCTCCTGGCTCTCATCCTACCTGTCACAACGCTCCTTCAGCGTTACCTATAATGCTACCACCTCCCCCTCACTCCTCCTCTCTGTTGGGGTCCCTCAAGGCTCTGTCCTTGGGCCCCTTCTCTTCTCCATCTACACCTCCTCCCTTGGCCAACTCATACACTCTCACGGCTTCAACTACCACCTCTATGCCGACGACACACAAATCTATCTCTCAACCCCCCACCTCACCCCAGTCTCTGCCCGAATCACACACCTACTGAGTGACATATCAGACTGGATGTCGCTCCACTTCCTTCAACTGAACCTCTCCAAAACCGAGTTTCTTGTCTTCCCCCCAGCCCGGACACCACCCCCCATTGACTTCTCCATCACATCCAACAACGCCACCATCAAACCCGCCCCGCAGGCCAGAGTACTTGGTGTCATTCTGGACTCCAACCTATCCTTCCAGCCCCAAGTCCAATCTTTAACAAACTCGTGCAGACTCCACCTCTGCAACATCACCAAAATACGCGCGTTCCTAACTCCAGAAACCACTAAACAGCTCATCCACTCCCTCATCATATCACGACTCGACTACTGCAACTCCCTCCTCACTGTCCTGCCTCGCCGCTGGCTATCCCTGCTTCAGTCGATCCTGAATATGGCTGCCAGACTCATTCACCTTTCCAACCGCTCCGTTTCCGCCACCCCCCTCTGCCAATCCCTCCACTGGCTTCCGATTGCGCAACGGATCAAATTCAAAATCCTAACGCTGACGTACAAAGCTGTCCACCATACTGCCCCGAACTACATCACCGACCGAATATCCAAGTACCGCCCAGCACGCACACTCCGCTCCTCACAAGACCTCCTTCTCTCTAGTTCCCTGGTCTCCTCCTCCCATGCCCGCCTCCAGGACTTCTCCAGGGTGTCACCCATCCTCTGGAACTCCCTGCCCCAACCCATCAGATTATCACCTACTCTCCTCTCCTCTCCTTTAGGCGCACCCTGAAAACCCATCTCTTTAGGGAAGCCTACCCCACCCCCTGCTAACTTGCCGACCTCCTCCACTCTTCCTACCACTCCATCCCCCACAGCTATCTCCTCCTGTACCACCATCCCCTCCCTCTTAGATTGTAAGCTCGAAAGAGCAGGGCCCTCGATCCCCTCATGTTTTGCATTGTATTGTTATTGTTCTGTCACATGTTCTGTCCCCCTTTGTAATGTACAGCGCTGAGCAAACTATTGGCGCTTTATAAATACTGTATAATAATAATATAATAATGACGTCACTTCCCAGTCACCGTCGTCATTTTCCTCAGCTAGAAAAGCCAGGGAGAGATGTATTTCAATGCGATCAGTGGAGCCCAGAGGAGACATGCAGGCCCTGTATGATTCATTAAAGAGAACCTGTCACCTAAAAATCATTACATAGGGGACTTTGTGTCCCCTATGTGATAAAAAAAAAAGTGAAATAAAAAAAAAAATTGTTTTTTTTTTTTTTTTTTTTTTTTAATAAAATTATACCCAAACACATAACCCCCCCCCCCCCCCCCAATTTTTTTTGAGGCCCCCACATATATTCATGTACAAACATCAAGGACGCCTCAGCGTGAGAATGCCGCTTGCGATACACGTTACATATCGCTGGGCACGCCGGAATGAGAACAGTATTTCTAGCCCAAGGCCTCTTCTGTAACACTGAACTGTTGATCTGTAGGGGCTTTTGAAGCGTCACCTATAGAAAATATAGGGTACTGAGGTGTGTCACCATTTCACATGTGCATACAAATTTAAGGTTTGACATCTTGGCTATCTATTTATTTGGTGCAACCTTGTCTTTTATATTTTTCCATAAATGTGGGTAATTTTTTTGTGTTTGGTTGCCCTAAAATTCACTTTAGTGTGTTTTTTACCGATGTTTTGCATTTCCTAGACCTTTGCGGTAATATTACCTAACATAAAAAATTGGAACTACAAATATTATTCTCTAGGATGTCTGCTGCCCCCTGTATTCATTCATCCAGAGTGGGGGCACTCTAATACAGGAGAAATGAAAAGAAAATGAATGCAGCTATCACATCTAATGATTGGTAAACTATAATATGTTCATTTTGGCTTTGGGATTAATACAGCTTTAATGTGAACACAGGCTCACCTAATTTCATCTCGTGTAACACTTTAGAAAATCTATTCAGATTTTTGGCATATTGGCATACTTATGACATAAAATTTCCATGGAATAACAGAATCAGTTTGAGAGACACTAGGTGTCCCACATCATCGGTTTATTAAACTGCATACTATAGAAGGTTATTAAAACTCAAAACTGATAACATTTTCAGGTTTTGTTGGCTCCATATGGATATTCTCTTATGAGCAAGACCAGTACACACTAATTCTTTTGGATCTAAGATAGAAACAAAGTGGTAACAGAAGCAAAATGGCAGCTCTTCTCTGTACAGTAATCAATCACATTTTTTTCCAACATCAGTACAGTAATCTCATATTAACATTTGTCGCAATATTCTAGAATATTCCTCCATCCTGAATCCCCACTGCTGGGCGATTGTCTTCTGGCAACTAGTGCCGCCAGCTGTGAAAATACCCAAACAGTGCCTGCATCTGGGTGGTGTTCAACTGACAATTTTCCAACAGGCTCAATCAAATAATTGACTTTTGTCGAAGATAGTGGTACTGGCAGATCCAGCTGGCCAGCTTTAGCATCTCCTGTCTGTGAAATGCTGCCATACGTTAGTGCTATGCTTGTGCATTTTAGTAATCAGTTACATTTTTTATTCCACTACAGTTTTCAAAATTTGTTACACAGTCACATAAACCATTTTTTTTTCTTTATAAAGAATTTGTGATATAGGAACTTGAAATGCTATCCTAGAACAGAAATAAGTTTGCACAAATGAAATAAACGTCTAGTGTGATATCACGTTCTGTCCTCTAAACATCCCAATAAGTGACTGTTTCCCTTTATACCCCTACACATAGACAGTAATATAACTTGTGATCTGCTAAGGATGTGAGATTTAGTTCATTTAAAGTGTTACTAAACCCAGGACCCTGCATTCACTATATCTGGTCTCACACAGTACACGGAAATGTAATTATTTTAGCAAATATAAACTACTAAATACCTTTTCTCATCAGTACTTAGAGCAGTCTTGTGACTTTTATCAGTGTCCAGCTGAGCATATGGTAAAGCTTGTAGGAGGAGTTTTCATTTTGCTCTAAGAGGATGCAGGGCCCCTGCTTTCTGTCTGGAGAGTGCTGATTGGCCCTGTACTGATCACATGCACTCTCCCAAGAAAGAAAAAAAACTTCTCTAGCAATACACACCAAACTAAGCATGTGCAGAGTGACTCCACACAATATGATATGGCTTATCAGGAGATAAGAGGGGCACACTGGAAGAAGGGGAGGATCAAAGAAGTCAGGATCAAACAGAGTTTCTAGATAATGGAGAGGATTAACCCATTAGATTCCACAGTGAGTATAACAAGCATGCTTTACTGCAAATACAGCCTGATTTTACTGTTGTGGGTTTAGTAACACTTTTTCTAACATTATTGTGTTCCATTTATTCTTATAAAATGCAGAATTTTGGTGAATAGGTGCACCAAAAAATAAAATATTCTGTACAAAATAAATTATACCAAACCTGGTTTATGAGAACTCTTTATATACTATATCTGGTACCAAGTGCATTTTTGCTAGAAATGTATCCATGTGCCTTTCTCATCTGCTTAGCAAAGACAGACTTGGGTTGAATTATTTTCTACTAGTGCTTTGGTGCTGCCTTCAGTATTATTCAAAATTAAGTTAAAAAAAAAAAAATCCATACAGTTTCTTGGCTTGCCATTTTTCTAGAAGGTTTGGCATTAATGCAGACATCTTTGCTTAGCTCTGCTGATGTCTTAGTACCAGACACCAGGTAATAGCCACATACAGATGCAGGTCATACAAGCTTTATATCAAGTTGTACAGCTCCTGAGCCTATGTAGTCCAATTCTGAGATATATGTTTTCTTTAAATAACTTTGCTAAGAGTGTTATAAATTGACAATATTGCCTATCTCTCCTAGAGAGCAGTAATCAGAACAACCATCCTAATATGTAAAATATAGATAATAAACATTGGTCTCCCGCAAATGAAGACTATGAGAAGTCACTAAGCGCCTTTTGAATTCATGTGCAGCTTTGCAGTTTCTGAACTCTAGAGGACCATTCAAAAATGAATCAGCTTCTGAATGGAAGTATAGCATACATGTTCTAATGCATTCTTCATTAGATAGGTAATATATCACTTTCATCGTTCTCTTCAGGCTCACTGCTGGATTTTGACTGACCACTTAAGGGCATTTCCCCAGCATCTTTGAGATGTGCTCCAGGCTGAGAGTCCAAGGAGTCTGTACTGATCTGTGTTTCCATGGTAGGCATGCTTTCCACATCTTCCGCTTTATGCCTTCTCAACAAACACAGTGGATTTGTCCTGTTGAATAACTTAGCAATCCATGGCTTGGGTATCACATGCTCCAAACTCTCCTGAATTCTGACACCATCAAGATTTGTAAAATGCAGATCAACCTTAATGATGATGTTGTTCTGCACATAAAACAACATATAAATGATTAGTATTGTAATTAATACAAATATGATAAACTGATGAGGGCTAAACATCTACATTTACTTACCTGACATTTCTGTAGGTTATAAAGCCTGAGCATGCAGTCTGCTTCTTCACCATCATCCTCCAGAGCCACCAGAGAATGTACAGGGTCACGTTTGCATGCGTTTGATTGATCTGCCATGTCCTACAGAAAGCACAGTATATGGATGTCTTAAAAAGGGGACACAAGTGGACATATGGAGGAGAAACAGGCTGAGATGTTTTAGTATCAGAGATTTTATTGTAAAGGGCAGGGAGAGGTGACATTGTGGCATTTCTCCACCAACTGTCATAAGTATCGTTTCTACCTACAGGAAGAAATTGCCTGTGTGGATTGATTTGGCAGAAGAGCTAGCAATTTTATCCATTTTATTTTTTAATTCTGCAGGGAAAGGCAGAAGAATAAAGAGAAACTTCTGCAGATACTGACTCCAATAACCAACAAGAGGGTAAATTTAATTGTTTTGACTTCAAACCAAACTTTGCTTTCTTCAGTAAATTTTATTTACAAAGCATCTACAGTCATATGCACACTGACTGTATATATGTAAAATTACTGTATATATTTACAAAAATGTACAGTCCATGGACTGTGCCATTGGCCTCAACTGACCCAGTTTGGGCAAGAAACGGGAGTTAGCTGCTCTCCTGCTTAGCTTCCAGTGTTCTGTCCTGTAACGCCTAATCCTACACGTGCAGGGGCGGACTGATCATTTGGAAACTCGGGCACTGCCCGAGGGCCCGGGGTCAGTAGGGGGCCCCATGAGATGCCCCTGGTACCTTTTTCATAGGCTTTTTTGAGTTTGGGAAGCACACAGGGGCCCCATGATCCCCTATTGCCCGGGGGCCCCATGAGTTGTCAGTCCGCCCCTGTACACGTGGCATCAATCTGTTTACTACAAGCCTGGATAACACTAGCCGTTCAATTGACTGTGTCTGATGGTACAGTACTGGCCAGCATACCCCATGGCTACAGGATCCAAAAATGTGCATTTATTAATGCTGCTGCATTACACACTTGTTTTTGAATACACATACTTAATTTACCACACATACACTTCTTTCATTAATGGGGCTTTTCCATTAACCCCCCCATCACACACACACACACACAGTATTGCATTTGCTCCCTACCCAATGGGACTTGGAAAAACAGAAGAAATGTCCACAATGAGATAACTATGAACAACATTGGGATGAAGATTATTATTGCATAGGCTGAGAAAATAAAATAAAGGCATATCCATTGAGTTCATCCGAAAAAGAGAGAATCCTGCATCCTCTGAACTCATGGCTGATCCAGAAAAAGCCAAAACATCCTATAAAGTGTGGTCCAAATTTGTTCTAACAAGGAAAAAAATATTTTATTATTCTTAAATGCACAAATCTGTCTAGATCAATGGTCTCCAAACTGCGACCCATGGGCCAGATGTGGCCCTTAGCTTTTCTTTATCTGGCCCTTGCAGCACCATTCCTCTACAAACACCAATGATGGGACCCTATTCCTCCAACAGATATCAACAATGAGCCACCATTCCTCCCACTGATACCAATAATAGGGCATTTTACATCCCACTAAAACCAATTATGGGGTATTGTTTACTCCCATTGACCCCCAAGCCTCCGGCTTGTTTATTCCCAGTAACAAAAGGGGCATTTTTTACTTCCAATGGCCAGAGTCTGGCCCCCTAAAACCTGAAGGACAGTAAATTAGCCCTTCGTTTACATAGATTGGAAACCCCTGGTCTAGATCATATTCTATAATGATACTTAATTTAGTATTCATATTGGTAACTATTTATATTTTGTGCATTTATATCTCTGTTACACATAGTAAATTGCTTCTTTTACAAAAAAGAATATGCTTTTTTAAAAAAACACGTTACATTTTTAGTGATTTTCGATCATGGCAAAGTAAAAAGAACACTTACGGATGGTTTGTAAAGAATAATCTTGATGTCGTTTAAATGAGCAGGAGTACGTGTCAGTTTTGCAAAAGTATGAATGAGGTTTGAGAACACAGTTTTGAATCTTAATTCTGCTTCAACTCCACATGAGAACTTTACCATTTGTTTGGGGATTTCTGGAAAACAGGATAGATCAGAGACTGTTACAAGTTCTAGGAACATCAGTCCATCTTTCAAAGTGTACATCTGATGAGACAACATTCTGCTACCACAAATATCCCTCTATATACAGTTGTTAGTGAAGTCAATAAGCCTTAAGCAATGAATATATTCTTACAAACATATTTGATTCTCTGTACTTATGTAGAACAGCACTGGTAAGTACAACCTATTGTATGTTAACAATTAGTGAGAAAGCCTGTATTGTCCTTCACTACTGAAAGGAAGTCTACTACATGAAAAAAAATCTATTATTAAAGCTTCATTACAATTCTGTTCAGTTCTAAGAAACTTCATAAAGCCAAGTGTATTCAAAGAATTAGTCATTGTTGGCATTTTTTGTTTGCTGAGCCTTCCAACTTTAGGAAGCATAAAAACAGCTAAATCTGTTTCCTTGTATTTGGTTACTGCACTGGAACTGAGCTTCAGTGTTTTATTAGATTAAATTCAGGAAGTTCGAGGCTTGCAAACATAAAATGCCAGGCAGCGCTTTAGAAGCACTGGCCTGGTTTCTACAGCTGTGTGAAAGAAAGATTTCCCTAGCACAGTTGAGAAGTTGTGAAGAGGGGTGCAGACAGGTAGAGATGCATATAGGGAGAGATGGCACCCGCTCCTCCTCAGTAAACTCCACTCCATCGGCCTCCATGGCTCTGCTCTCTCCTGGTTCTCCTCTTACCTTTCTCAGTGCACTTTCAGTGTAACATACAACTCCTCCTCCTCCGCTCCTCTTTCTGTTGGGGTACCCCAAGGTTCTGTCCTTAGGCCTCTCCTTTTCTCTCTCTACACCTCCTCCCTGGGTCAACTGATAACCTCCCATGGCTTCCAATACCACCTCTTCGCTGATGACACCCAGATCTATCTCTCTACTCCCCAGCTCACCCCCTCAATCTCCTCACGTATCACAAGTCTACTAAGCAACATATCAGCATGGATGTCACATCACTACCTCAAACTCAGTCTTTCCAAAACTGAGCTTATAATATTTCCTACCCCCCAATCGCCCACTCACGACTTTACCATTAAGATGAACAGCACAACCATTGGTCCTTCCCCTCATGCCAGAGTGCTAGGCATAATCCTAGATTCTGACCTCTCCTTTGGGCCCCACATCCACTCACTGGCTAAATCCTGCCGCCTCAATCTCAGGAACATTTCCAAAATCCGCCCCTTCTTGACCAATGACACCACAAAAACAACTCATCCACGCCTTGGTTATATCCCGCCTCGATTACTGCAACTGCCTCCTCACTGGTCTACCGTTACACAGGCTATCCCCCCTTCAGTCTATTATGAATGCTGCTGCTAGACTCATACACCTTACCAACTGATCAGAGACTGCTGCCCCTCTCTGCCAATCCCTTCATTGGCTTCCACTAACCCAACGTATAAAATTCAAAATACTACCCACAGCTTACAAAGCCATCCACAACACTGCCCCTAGCTACATCGCCAACCTCATCCACAGATACCACCCAAATCGCCCACTGCGCTCCTTCCAAGATATCTTCCTCTCTAGCTCCCTCATCGCCTCCTCCCATGCTCACCTCCAGGACTTCTCCAGAGCCTCTCCCATCCTCTGGAACTCCCTACCACAGTATGTCCAGTCAGCCCCCACCCTGTCTGCCTTTAGGCAATCTTTGAAAGCTCATTTATTCAGGGAAGCCTACCCTACCTCCACCTAAGAACTGTACTTGAATCACCTCCACTAGATCATCCCCCGCAGCTATCACCTCCCCTTTCCTTTAGATTGTAAGCTCCACGAGCAGGACCCTCATATTCCTTCTGTACTGAAATGTATTGTAATTGTACTGTCTCCCTTATATTGTAAAGTGCTGCGCAAACTGTTGGTGCTATATAAATCCTGTATTATTATAATAATAATAATAATATATTTTCACATAGAAAAGCATTGTTTCAGGACCACACAGTCCCAAAACATTGCTTTTTGATGTGATCATAACAATAAAGAGATTTGCATTCTGAAACAACTTTGTTGGTGTACTGGCAACAAATCTTATTCAGGGTATGGGCAGAGGGTACACAAAATAGTGGAAAGGGGTGCAAAAGTGGATGTGCGGTTAAGTGGAGAAAGGTTCTGCTGAGCAACTGTTAAGGTCAAGTCACACTAGCTATTCAGTTGCTGGTGACAACTTGCCAGTGACAGAATCACTAAGGCTCAATTTACTTTCTCTTATGGCATTACTACTTCACTGGCTGGACCAGCAAGATGCTGCTCCCAACAGTAGCAACTAAGATTCAGTGAGCCAGTAATGCTGTTTAGGTAAAGTTGCACTGTGGTAACACCAGTGGAAAAAAGTGCCCAAAATATCACCCAAACCATTCTCTTCGCTTCTTTCAGGACCTCCTGATCTCTAGCTTGCTTGTCACCTCCTCCATACTCACCTCCAGGACTTCTCCAAAGGCCTCTCACAGCCTATATAAATCTATACCCCAAATTATCTGGCTATAAGTTACTCTATCCACCTTTAGGCAATCCCTGAAAACTCATCCATTCTATCTGAGCTGCCGTTCCCTGTCAATCACTGGGTACCGACCGGTGATTACCTGTCGGTGCCTCGTGATTACCAAGGATTTCCGACAGGGAGGAGGGCTGCTTTGTCTACTAACAGTCCTCCTCCCTGTCGGCTCCAGCACACTGCTCTGGATGGCTGTGCACAGCCATCCAGAGCAATGTGCTTACAATGAAGCACCAACACCGCCCCCCAGTAAAACACTCCCAGCACACAGTTAACCTTTGATCGCCCCTTATGTTAACTCCTTCCTCCCTAGTGTCATTAGTACAGTCAGTGCTTTTTTTTAGCACTGATCACTGTATTGGTGTCTCTGGGGATGTCAGTGACACCAAGTCAGTTCCTCCCAGTGTCAGAATGCCCGCCGCAGTCCTGCAGTCCTGACTTATAATTATAAGTCACTGATTGCTGCCATTACTAGTAAAAATTTTTTTTAAAAAATTCCAGTATATATACTGCCATTTGTAAACGCTATAACTTTCACATAAACCAATGAATTTACACGTATTGGGATTTTTATTTAGCAAAGACATGTAATTATAGGCCATCCAAATTTTAATATCACAAACACAGCGAGATGGGACAGAAGCAGAATCTGGTGCAGCGGAAGGATTCCCTCATCCAACTCGAATGTGTGGATGGGGGGGAGTGGGTCATTTTTTGTCATTCAATGAACTGGTTGAATGGAAAAAAAAATGATTAATGTATTTCCAGCTTAACTGTATTCAACCAAAACAGGTAACGATTGTTTAATGATTTCAGGTTAATTTATTTGTAGCAGCTGATCTAAAGTAAGGCATTAGAGGATAGCAGACAGCGGTAGAATGAGATCCTTGGCAGCATGACATAACGGACATGTATGTAAAGCAAAGTGCTGCTAGCCAACAAAGCATAACTACAACTATGACTTAGTGTGACATGACAACGATGTTACTTTTCTACATTGACACAAATGTGCAAATTGCCATTTTTGAGTGCTTTCTTTTTTTCCCCAGAGTTCTAAAAGATGAAGCATAATCAATACTAAACAATATGAGGCAATTAGAACTTAATCATAAATGGCCACAGCATGAGCGGCGTTGTCAGTTTTTATAGAAAACAGAGTGAGGTGTAAAGTACAGACACTAGAGGGCACCATCTCCTATACTTACTGCTGCGGTGATCCCACACAGTCCTATGGAGCCGTTCACTGGCTGAGGTGCAAATCTTGTCAGTCAGAGCGCGGCACTCTTTAAGGGAGTGCCTTATTTCCATAACTTGCTTGCCAATTACCAGAGGGTCTTTGCCAATGTCTTCAGGTTGTATAGGAAAAAAAAAAAAGATACAGTTACAAAAATGTCACTGTTCCTGTCCTTTGAGTTATTTTGCTGTCACCAGGTAGAAAAGTTTTGTTGATGTCAAGAAATGTTCAACTGTTGCCAACGCCTGGGGCTTAGATATTCGTCCCTGAAAACGCCACTTGTTGTGAACATTGATCATCTTAATAAAAGCCCTTCTTGTTTGCGATTTTATAAGCAATTTTTAAAACTGAACAACTGACAAACATCCAAATACACAGATAAAATATATCTATGAGATCTGTTTTACCGGGCAAATGATTTGTTTTTCTGTCCATCCAGTCCTGTGATTTACACAGATCTGCCCCACAGCCAGTGGCGTCCCGAGGCAGGTGCGGGGGGTGCGGCCTGCACCAGGTGACACCTACCACACGGGGTGACACCGGACCCGCTCCACGAAAAGGTAAGTTGTAAAGCAAGCAGACGATCCCTGCAGGATGGATTGGAACCATGCTGTGGGGATTGTCAGCTTTCTTTACAATTTACCTTTTCGTGGAGCAGGTCAAGTGTCACCCTGTATAGGTTGCATGCTGACGATCCCTGCAGGATGGATCGGATCTGTGGAGTCCAACGATGTTCTCACCCGCACGGTCCCCTTCTCCCCTCCATGTCGCCGGCATCTCAACTGTGGGCACCAGGTTGTGACAGCTTGCGGCTTCATAGGCTGGTGCCCACTGCGCATATGCGAGTTGTGTTGCGCTTCCTAATTGGTCCGGCAGTCTCCTGGGACCTGTGAAAGGAGATTGCGGGAGGGAGGAGGGGGCCAAACTTCTGGATCACTTCGCCATGGCGAACTGAGCCAGAACTGGGAGTGGGTACCTGTCAAAACCCCCCAAAAGGTGTCAAATATGGCAGTGGAGGGGGGGGAGGAGGCAAATAAGCGGAGCTTCCACTTTTGAGTGGAACTCCACTTTAATGCAGAGAAAAGTGGCTTCTCAGTTTCCTAATTTTTTCATAAAGTTGGTTTTGGGACCTGGAGCCTGGAGATTTCAAAGTGATCCAGGAGCAATGAAATCTTCAATCCTGGGTCCAGATTTGTGAACAACCAGCACACTAATTGCTCAGGTGTGTGCTGGGCTTTAACCCCTGGTTTCTAAAGTAGTGTATGCACTATTTTAGAAATCGGTGCGGTTCTGACCAAGTCGGAATTGCACCGATATGATCGCTTTAATTGTGGACAATAGGGTGCGACTTGCCATGTGTTGTGCAAGTCGCATGGCAAATCGCATGGCAATTTGAACCCGGTGTGACTGGGGTGTTAGTAGTGACCTGACCACGATTCTGGGCTTCACCCCAGCAGGAGGTTGCATCCAGGAGGTCTCCATGTGGGAGCCAAAGCAGCACGGGGGGCTCCAAATTATGTGCATGGAGTTGTGTATGAAGACTGTTTGTGGGAGGCAGACAAAGGGCCTAAAAGGTAAGGCCAGAGCAGGAGTGCTGCATGTACAGTATAAGCCTGGAGGCTGAATGTGTATTTCTTTAGACAGAAATGTCATGTGAGGGAAATTCATCGATTTTCTTTTCTGGAAGTTTGTTGAACTTTGTTTTAATAAAATGGGGCAAGAAAAGCCCTACCAAGTATAAAAGCGAGTGGCAGTGTCCTTTTAAGCTCTACTGTTTGAAGCTAGTTCTCACATTGTGTATAAACCTCTTTAGCTGAGCAAGCGGGTGAAAGGGATGTCAGAAGGCCTTCGGCTGGATTCACACTTGAGCGTAGTGTCTTTGAGCGATTTTTGTGTGACTGTTGCGCGTTTCCATACAGCAGTTTTCAGGCGTTTTTGAGCTTTGGTGTTTTTTTATTAGCCAGTAGAGAAAAATATCTGTTGCCTCATTTGTTGCTTCTTTAGATTTTCCATCAGCTTTTATTTCTACTACTACTCTTACTACTACTACTACTTCTCTTAAAAAATTACATAAATAATAATTATTAATTATGATAATAATAATAATAATAATAATAATAAAAACACACCCTAACACAGAATAAATTATTATTAATATATCATTATCATTAATAATTTATTTGTGTATTACTTTACATTTTTTTAAACCATATATTATTACTATTTTTTTTCCATTTAAGCAGAAAAATCACACATAAAAGCACAAATTGTGCGTTTCCATTCATTTCTTTGGAATTAAAAACACTCAAAAATGCAAAAATCTGCCTGAATTTAGCGACAGAAAATGCTCCAGAACTTGTTTGAGGTTAGGACATTTGGCTTCAGGCAGCTTGGAGTGGAGATGTGAACCATCTCCTTTGAGAATAATTGATTTTTGCTACTCAACTGTTTTTGATCTTCGAGCTTCAAGCTAGAAATCGCTCAGGTGTGAATCAGCTTACAAGCCGACCTCAATGCTCTGTTATTTTGGGCAACTATTTGGCAAATGAGGTTTAATGTTGATAAATGTAAGGTTCTGCACTTGGGGGCTAAGAATATGCATGCATCATACATACTAGGGGGGAGTACAACTGGAGGAATCAATGGTGGAGAAGGATCTGGGTGTTCTGGTAGATCACAACCTTAATAATGGCATGCAATGCCAAGCTGCGGTTTCTAAAGTGAGCAAAATCCTCTCTTGTATTAAAAGAGGTATAGACTCCAGAAAGAGAGAGATATCATTTTATCCCTGTATAATCCCTATATCCCTATACTAATCTTTCATTAGTAAAACCTCATCTGGAATATGCAGTTCAGTTTTGGGCACCAATTTACAAAAAGAACATTGGGGAACTTGAGAAAGTACAGAGAAGGGCAACCAAACTGATAAGAGGAATGGAGGAGCTCAGCTATGAGGAAAGATTAGAGGAACTGAATTTATTCTCTCTTGAGAAAAGGAGATCAAGGGGGGATATGATCAACATGCATAAATACATCAGAAGTTCATATAGTGAACTCGGTGTAAAGTTATTCACCCTGAGGTCATCAGAGAGGACAAGGGGGCACTCTTTACATCTGGAGGAAAAGAAATTTAATCTCCAAACACGGAAAGGTTTCTTCACAGTGAGAGCTGTGAAAATGTGGAATAGACTCCCTCGAGAGTTTATTCTGGCCAGCTCAGTGGATTGCTTAAAAAAAGACCTGGATTCTTTCTTAGATACACAGAATATAACTGGATAATAACATTTATAGGTGCCTCTTGGGGGATCAGGAAGGAATTTTTCTCCCTGCAGGAGCAAATTGGATTGTGCTTTCCTGGGTTTTTTTGCCTTCCTCTGGACCAATAACTTTTTTTTTTCATAAAATGGTTGAACTGGATGGACTTTTGTCTTTTTTTCAGCCAGATTAACTATGTAACTATGAATCCAGCCTTACACTGACTGCTTATTACAAGCATTTATAAACTGCTGTCTTGCATAGGACTGTTGTCCATACAGATGTGCAGAGCACTCTCTGTATTGGACATAGATACCCCTTCTAAAGAGCATCTGACTCTAGCAGTAACTGAATTCCTGTGCCCCCAGTGCACTCCCTCCATGAGAAGGATCTTTACAGTATGTACAAAAATCCTACTATGTGTAATAAAATATTGGATTATTGGTTGTTTTTATGTTTTTTTGTATGACATTTTAAAACATGCTTATGCCATTTTAAGTATATATTTAAACCCAATCACTAACATTTCTTTTAACCTTTAACGTATAAATATAATATCAAAAAATCTTTCTAAATCTCCAGCTTTTAATAAATGAATACGTACTGATCATGTTATAATATTTTGTTTGTCAAGCAATTCCTGTTGGGGTGGCAACTAAATAACAATTTTGCTCCTGAGTTGTTATTCTGTGTGCTGCTAAGGGCAAGCAGCACACAGGCATGCTAGCACACTCTGGGGGTATTTACCAAAATTGAAGAGTGCAAAATCTGGTGCAGCTCTGAATAGAAACCAACCAGCTTCTGGGTTTTATTGCCAAAGCTTAATTGAACAAGCTGAAGTTAGATGCTGATTGGCTACAATACACAGCTGCACCAGATTCTGAGTGCACTAGTTTTAGTAAATCTACCCCACTGTATCAGGTTTTTATTATAGTACACTCCTAGTTAGGCTGCTAGAGTTTAGGTAAATTTAGTCCTTGGCTTCACTGTAGCAGTGCAGAGCAATATATTCAATGGCTGTTCTGGGTATTGCTGGTGCAGGCCCAACTACTTTCCTCTACATCCCACTGAATTAGTGAAATATAGTGGGTGGGAGAGTCCGACTCTGGTCTGCATATTCATGCACTCTTGGGCAATCCCTCATCAGGAGAGTAAGTGACCAGTAGGGGGTTGAGAGGGGTACGAATAGGCTGGGGACTATAACAGCAGCCTTTTGTTCCTGGGGTAGTAAGACCCAGCCTGAAGGCTGAAGCACCCCTGGGTTGCCAGTTACAACACTGAATAAATTCTGGGGTCCCAGCTCCAGTTAGAGCTCAGGAAACTCTATTCAGAGTATCCTGAAGCAGTGCAAGAAGCTCTACAGGGTATCCAGGCCACAGGTTCCAAGTACAGAGATTGGCTGGTACTACTGGAGGCATTACATAAACCAGGGCACAGTGAGTACTAGCCTTAAGGATCCAAGAGACTTTCCTAGCCACCATTGGGAGAGCTCATTACAGTTTGCCTCAGGAATATACTCCTGTTGAGGGGTTCCTGCATTGAAGTTCAGTAAACCTTCATGTTCAAGAGGGGGGTTACACCCTGAAGGAGCATATCAGTTTTTAGTGTCCTCTGTTGCATTTCTGCTAGTTCCTTTTGGAGTATCCCAAGGCTCACCTTCATCCTATCCAAGTTAAACCAGCAAATAAACTGTAAAAGACATGTTTTCTGACATGTGTGACTGTGAACTATTGTGTGCCTGGCTGCAGTATGACTATCAGGGAGTGGAACCCAGGAATTAAACAGCAAGTCAGATCTGGGGAGTGTACTACATTATTAGTGTCCCTACTGGGGAGATTTACCTTACTTCCTGTCAGGACAGAAAG